TTGGTTAATGCAAACCCGGTATAATGTATTATTACCTCGTGTTTGCTAACTCGGGTACTCTATATAGTACCTTTGCTAATGCCAACCCGGCATAGTGTATTATTACCTCGTGTTTGCTAACTCGGGTACTCTATATAGTACCTTTGCTAATGCAAACCCGACAGGATGTATTATTACCTCGTGTTTGCTAACTCGAGTACTCTGTATAGTACCTTTGCTAATGCAAACCCGGCAGAATGTATTATTACCTCGTGTTTGCTAACTCGGGTACTCTGTATAGTACCTTTGTTAATGCAAACCCGGTATGATGTATCTTTACTTCTTTAATATGTTGTTCGTATATTAAAGGTGTTATACATATCTTGTTATAGTTGAATGTATTTTGGTAATTTCCATGGAAAGTATACAGTCGTGAATCATACTTGTATCTTTAGTTTTGAATCATAAATTATACCTATTATAATTTATATGTTCTATCTGATTAGCATGGTTTCTCATGGATGAACACCTTTGCTCAGCCTGATACAAAGGTGAAGATACCAAAAGGAGTAACCTTTTGTACCCATATATGTATAATATATATATATATATATATATATATATATATATATATATATAATTAAGAGGGAAACGGTCTTCAGACAAATAATACAACCCTAATTCCACATCCAAACAAGGAAAAGGATATAAGATAATTCATTAGTCCTAAGCCCTTCAAATCTTATTTATATATTTATACATATATAACATGATTTTGGCATTTATAATTTGAAATAGTTTATAAAACATTTTTCAAAGAATTTAACGGAGTTTACATGACTTTTAAGATTTAACATGGCTTTAAGTTATTTTGGAAGTATTTGATAATTCTTAAAAGCATAAGGAAATTTTCTGTGTGATTATTATCACACACAGTTATTAACACAATTTATTATTGTTTTAAACTTGTATTCCTCCCTAAAAAGCATTTAAAAACCATTGAAAAGGTGAATTATAGGGGTATGAACTCATTTTGATAAGCGATGATTCGGGCAGCGTTTCGTTTCCCGTAAAGAGTTTATTTGACGAGAAACCGGCTCAAATCGGGCAGAGTTTTGGCAGGAGAGAGGATAACTTCTCGAGAATTCCGGGGCTCCGGGGCTTGCTTCGGGCTTTAGACACGATACCGGGGCCTTGGGGGGTCGTGAGAAAGTCGAGGGGGTGAAAATGTGAATTTTGGGAAGTTTTGGGGTGAAAAAGTCCTTCCATCCGAGAAGGCTCGCACCCTTTATATAGGGGTGCGAGGGTTCGGCCGAAGGAGGACAGCTGGCGAGGGCTCGGACACCTGGCGAGGCGAGGAGGTGAGTCAGTAGCTACGTGGCAGCTCCTGCGAAGGCCACGTGCGAAGGCTTAAGGCGGTGGAGCTTCTGACCCGGTGCGAGACACGTGACTTCGGACAGGTGGCCTCTTCTAAGTGGGCCGAACTTCGGTCCAGTGGGGAAGGAGGTCATGACTTCGGACCAATCAGAAGGCGACACGAACATCTGCTGCCCAATCAGAAGGTCACACTTGGAGGCCTCGCATGCGAGGTGACGTGTCCGAGGAGTGACTCAGCGAAATTTCCCGGTTTTCCACATTTTCTTGATTTTTGTGCCAAAAAACTTTCGAAAATCATAACTTTCGCATACGAGCTCCGTTTTTGACGTTCTTTATATGCACACGTAGGTAAAATCATACTCTACGACTTTCGTTTAGACTTCGTTGGCTGATTTTGAATTTATTTTTAATATTATTATTTTAAACAGACCGGGACGGGAATCCGTTAAAAATTCATAACTTCTTCATCAGATGTCCGTTTTCGTCTGTCTTTTTACCGTTGTGCTACTTTTGACGAGACCTTTGATTCTCGTTTAAGTTGCGTCGGCTAAATATCGATCGATTTATATTTCAAAGTTTTAGCTGTCTACTGCTAAACTGAAACTTCGAAAAATCATAACTTCCTTATACGACGTCGGATTTTTACGTTCTTTTTATGAACGTTCTTGGTTTAACATATTCTACAACTTTCATTTAGATTGTTAAGGCTAAAAAGCCTTTTGTCGAAAATTCGCTTTTTACACTGAACAGTGTTTTGCCGGTTTTACCGCGGATTTTCGATTGGTCATAACTTCTTCGTTATAACTCGGATTTTAGTGTTCTTTATGTTTTTGGAAACCTTGTTACAAACTTTACCACTTGGTTCATCCCAATTACGATTATTGATCAATTTATTTTTGACCAAAATTTGACTGGTGTCACACTAGCCGATGTCATGGTATGTGAAAAGTCTCCCAGATTGTCTTATATTCTCAATTAGGGGGCTCCCCTAGTATCAGTGTGCGGTTGTTTGTGGGTCATGGATGTGGATCCTCATGGGTATCGACCATCACGCTATCTAGCTAGTGTCATGGTCCAAGACATGACTCCCTGATTTCATATGTTCACAGCGTGTGGGGAGGGGCGCCCGTAGTAACAGTGTGCGACTGTTTGTGGGTCATAGATGTGGATCCCCGGGAGTATCGGTCATCACACTAGCTAATCTCATGGTCTGAGACACGACTCCCTGATTTTCTTATGTTCTCAGCTAGAAGGCATCCCCTGGTATCAAATGTGCGGCTGTTTGTATGTCATTGATGTGGATCCTTAGGGGTATCGGACGTCACACTAGCTAGTGTATAGGTCCGAGACACAGCTCCCTTATTTTCTTATGTTCTCAGCCCTTGGGCACCCCTAGTATCAGTGAGCGATTGTTTGTGGGTCATGGATGTGGATCCTCAGGGGTATCGGCCATCACACTAGCTAGTGTCATGCTGAGAGACACGTCACACTAATTCTCTTATGTTCTCAGCTGGTGGGGGGGGGGGCTGGTATCAGTGTGCGAGTATTTTTGGGTTATGGATGTGGATCTTCGAGGGTATCGGCCATCACACTAGCTAGTGTCATGGTACGAGATATGGCTCTCTGATTTTCTTATGTTCTCATCCAGGGACGCCCCTGGTATCAGTGTGTGATTATTTATGGGTCATGGATGTGGATCATCGGGGGTATCGGCCATCACGCTAGCTAGTGTCATGGTTCGAGACACGGCTCCCTGATTTTCTTATGTTCTCAGTCAGGGGTTCCCCCGGTATCAGTGTACGGTTGTTTGTAGTTCATGGATGTGGACCCTCGAGGATACCGACCATCACGCTAGCTAGTTTCATGGTCCAAGACACGACTCCCTGATTTTCTTATGCCCTTATTCGAGGGTCGCCCGTGGTATCAATGTGTGGTTGTTTATGGCACATGGATGTGGATCCTCGGGGGCATCGACCATCACGCTAGCTAGTGTTATAGTCTGATACACGACCAATTTTCTTATGTTCTCAGTTGGGGGCCCCCCTAATATCAGTGTGCGGCTGTTTGCGATCATGGATATGGATCCTCGGGGGTATCGATCATCACGCTAGCTAGTGTCATGGTTCGAGACACGACTCTCTGATTTTATTATGTTCTTAGTCGGGGGCGCCCTTAGTAGTAGTGTGTGGCTCTTAGTGGATATTTAATATGTTTTCTTAATTTCTACAAGGTCTTCATTAGGTAATACACTTTAATTAAGTTTACTACGCCTATTAAAACTTTGCCTTTTTGGCTATTTGTTGCTATGTTTATGTTATGGTGGAGAAAAGGAACCTATTATATATTTGACCAAAATTGTTATTTATTTCTAATGTGTAATTGTAGGTTTGAACGTACTGGATACTTGTTTTGATAAGTTGACGATATATGATCCTGATTTCATTGATTGTTCAAGAAAAGTTTGGTAATTGTTGCAAAATATAATTATTTTACATAAACCTTCAGAAGATCAAGTCGTGACTTTAAAATGTGAAGATCATACCGTCACAGAAGTCACGGATCAGTTTGTTAAGCATAATCCTGTATTCGATTTTACTATGTTTGAAGTGGCATCGGGAGTACATTGGTTTTTTTAAAATTGTAAAACTTCGTTATTAGGTAGGTACATAACATTTTATGGTAACTGTGAATGTAAACACAATACCTTTTTAGGTTTTTTTTTGTTGGTGAATGTAATAGCTAGTAATTAATGTGTAAATTAACGTAGCTAAATATCTTATTGTAGTAAAAATGCATGTGTTTTAATTTTTCGATGTTGTTTATGTACTTATTCTCACAATTGTAATGGTTAATTTATTATTTGACTTCAAGCTAGGGTGTTTGGTATTTCATTTAAAAACAACTTATTGACTTATGACTTTTTGAAAAGTTAATAAGTCAAAAAAACATGTTTGTCAATATGAAAATGACATTTAAAATTACATTTCATTAACCCTTCAAAAATGAGATTTCAATAAGTTAGGATTTCTAACTTTTCAAAACTCATTTCAAAACAACTTATTGATTTATTGACTTTCCCACCACAAAAACTAATCCAAAAACTTTTTAAAAAACTCTTTTGCTCACCAACATAAGTCATTAAGTCTTTTTGCTTAAAAGTTTTTTATTTGAGGTTCAAAATGAAATCCAAACACATATTACCTATTTACTTAATATTTATATTCATATAAACTAAATAACCAGAGGGAATCACTTAAATGAAACTTCGACACTTTATATGTATTTATCACCTTATGTCTTTACGTCTCACTTAATACCTAAAGGTAAAAGTACAATTAAGATAAAAAAACATTATAAAAGATGACATTTGGCCACCGTTTTCGGGCCGTTGCATGACTTATCACGGGTTTTTTCATGTTACAAATTTCAATATAAGATTTAATCACTTAAAATGAATCTTCAACACCTTATGTCTCACTTAATAACCGATACAAGGTAAAGGTACATATAAAATAACAAAATTCGTTATTAAAGAGGACATTTGGCCACCATTTTCGGTCGTCGCACTATTGTCACTTTTTTTTATGTAAAACCGATGTTAATTTGTGATGTATGATTTGCAATGGTGACTCTTTTTCAGCAAAATGTCATGGAAACTGAGACCACCCAATTTTCAAAAACCGACGCTATGGGTCAGTTTTGTACTAGTGTTTCTAAGTGTACAGGAAGATGAAGCTAATCAAGATCCAGGAAACCCTTCATTGGAGCCGTCTGCCTACATCACGGAATGCCCAACACAATAAATCTAGCCTATTTTTTTAGAAATTATAGTAAAAACCCACCTGTTCTATTTTCAAAAAAAAATCAAATTTCAATCTTTTAAATACACTTGCTCAGCAGCCCCTAAATACCCTGTTCTTCAGAGAAAAAACAAATATTCCCCTTTTGTGTCTTTGTTTATGCTTACTGAAACCATAACACTCACCCGACAATAGCTAATAACCATCAATGATAGAGCCAAAACCATTACCACAGCCAGAACCTAGATCGTAGGACATGACCACCTCTTTACCGAAAGAATGTTAGGATTGTTGTAGACTAAGCTACAAATTGCAAAAACAATAACATCATAGGTTTGACAAGTCACAATTGGTCTCGTTCTTTCCAATAATTGAGGATGGCAATATCATCTTCATCGGCGCCACCATCGAAAACCCTTCCTTTCATCTGATAACGCCATTGTTAACTCGTTGTAGAGTCCTCAGCCTTAATCCCCTTCAACCCCAACATGTTTTCACTATCCTTAAGCGAGCTACAGATGATCCCAGTATCGTTTTAGCCCAGAGTGTTTGGAGAGCCATCAATATGAGTGATGAAGTTATTGAATTTTTATCACAACACTGTGATAGAGGTGCAAGGATCGCATTGAATGCTCTTGACAAATGGGTGCCACATGTGCTTTAATTGTACCGGTGAGATATTATACTAGTTGTTTTAGGTGAAGGTGACTAAAAAATCAGGTCACTACCGACTTTATACCCTCATAAAGCACTAAAAAAAAAAGTTTAGGGATTGATTAGACCAATATCAGAAATATTGTAGGGCTACAATGTCATTTCCCCATAATAAAAATTACATTAAGTCTTGGTCCGAAATTTTGCCTTCCGAATCGTCTACGGGTTCCACGTTCAAGTCAATATGGTCATCGGTCCAAATACGTTCCACAAGTCGCTACAAAGATTGTAATGGACTTCAACATTACATATCCCCGCTCTGCGATCCATGTACTTTTCCCCACCAATCTCAATGGTTGTGTCTATAGAACGATTATACTTTCATCGTACTCACATATCGTTGCTCCATCTTCTAAAATTATATTATGTAATACGATACATGTATACATTATCTATATGTAAGTTTGTTCTCGTCAACAAAAAGCGTCAGGTTTTTTAGAATCTTCCAATGTTTTCTTAGGGCTTCAAAGGCTCATTCTACATCCTTCCTCGCTCTTTCCTAAGTTTTCTTAATTTTTTTTTCCTTTTATTAGCAGTGGGGAATGAAATTTTTTTAACATATAAAGAACACTCTCGACAAGATAATACGCATTCGTATACATTTTTCATGTACCTCGAATGAAGAAGATGGTGTAGTTATGTCGTAGATGTTGTTGAATATCGTTGACATGTTAAGAACGTTAATGTCATTGAAGGAATATAGAGCACCAAAAAAGATATGTCATATCCACAAATCATGTGATGTGAGTACTTCATGTATGGCCGTCGGGTAACCATAAATTTCTCGTGTATATTGACCGTGGTGTGCATTCGAGTAATTTCCCTATGACCAGTTAAGGCAATCGAAAAAACCATGTACGCTTTCATGATGACCATATAATTGATGGATGTCATTGTAAGTGAGCTTACGTAAATATCGTGGACCATCCAGCCTGCGAACATATTTGCAAAATTTATGGAGACTTTCTCTAGCGGTACGTAAAAAGAACCTCGTACGTCATAATGTTGCTAGAAATATGGACAAGTTGTAGTCAAGTCTTCAACAATATGTGGAAATAGAGATTTGTGCATTCGGATGGGTGGTCGAAAAAAATACCCCTAAAAAATCGCATGTTCGTCAAAGTAATCATGCACGATGGTGGGCATTTTAACGATCTCTTTGAATATATTTCTTTTTTTACGCCTTGCACTTTTGGCTTGCGTATTGCTTAAATGGCTGATCGTTCCCTCCAACATTTTAGCGACTCCCATCATAGCTTCTATTACAAAGTTAATTATTGAGAAAGATGAAGATGAAGACCAAGAAAACATTTTGAGTAATATTGAGAGAATGATAGTATTGGTATGATGTAAAAGGTTATGATTTAGTAGGCATTTACAGTTGTTTTTGTTTGAAAAAAAAAAATAACCATTGATTAGCTTTGAAGGAGGAGAGAAGTATCCCAGAGCTCGTGGGTGGCTGTTTCCCGAGCTACGTCGGCTTTGCCGAGTCCCTTACCGAATACCGAGGCAACTCCCCGCAGTATAAAGCATAAATATAGTAAACATATACAAGTGTTTTATTTATTTATTCTTTTTAGGTTTTTATCAATATATAAGACCCTTCACGTATTAACAAATTTACAATATTCAAAGTCTTTTGGTGTTTTTTTATTGGTACTAATGCAATTATTGATCTAAAAAACTAAAGACAGCTATATAGCACTTTGAAAAATAACAACGTTGACTATAATCATCCCCTTTAACAATCCGATGCTTACTTGCTTGTGTGTTGTTAATCCATATAATATCAGTTGATTTATGGTTTTAAGCTACAATTCTTCCAAACATCTTAACTTCGTTTCCTAGATTATTACTACCATCAAAATGATGCATCTCACAAAACATTTTGAACACCTCAAGATACACTTGGAAGCCATAAAATCAGCAACCAACAACTTTGCTGATGACAATTGCATTGGAAGAGGAGGATTCGGAAAAGTATACAAGGGAGAGCTTGTCCATTCCAAGGGTCAGAGTATTGTTGCTTTAAAGCGATTAGATCCGAGATTTGGACAAGGAAACCCGGAGTTTTGGAAGGAGATCTTTATGCTTTCTCTTCACAAGCATCAAAATATTGTTTCTCTGTTAGGGTTTTGTGACGAAAGTAACGAAAAGATCCTCGTCTATGAGTACGCATCGAAGGGTAGTCTCGACATGTATCTCAACAAAGATGATCTATCATGGATCAGAAGACTTAAGATTTGCATCGGGGCGGCTCGTGGCCTAGCATACCTTCACAAACCTAGTGGGACACAACAAAGAGTACTGCATCGTGATATAAAGAGTTCCAATATCCTATTAGATGAAAACTGGGATGCTAAGATCTCAGACCTGGGTCTATCCAAATTTGGTCCTGCCAACCAGAAATACTCATTCCTTGTCTCCAACACTGTAGGCACCATCGGGTATATTGATCCCGTATATGTTGAAACTGGTTTGTTAACAAAAGAATCAGATGTTTATTCTTTCGGTGTGGTGTTGTTTGAAGTGTTGTGTGGGAGGCTGTGTATAAGCAACAAGGAAGGCATTCATCAATCTCTAATAGGATTGGTAAGAAGATACTATGTACAAGACAAAATAAACGAAATTATTTATAGTAGTATAAAGGATGAAATAAATCCTAAATCTTTGCATACGTTTGCCACAATAGCTTATCAATGTTTGAAGAGAGACTTGGAAGAACGCCCATTGATGTCAGACGTCATCAAAATACTTGAAAGTGCCCTTGAATATCAAGTAAGTTGTGGCTCATTCTGTTTTACTAATTTTTTTGAAATAATCTCTGGAAAAGAGAGAAACATCGCACTCAAAATGAAAATTTATTTAATTTTTGCTTCGTAGTTCTGCAGCAAGTAAATGATTTACGATGTTTTACAATTTTAACAACTTTGATTAATCATACAGCAACCCGGGTTGCCCCGGAAACCCAAGAAGCTTTACAGGGGAGCGACGCGAAGGCAATCGGGAAAATGGGTCGCGCAAATCTGTATACCCAGGACCCGGACCCGGATTTGGTTGGGTACATTTGATACAGCTGAGGAAGCTGCGCTGGCTTACGATACAGCTGCGTACAAGCTGCGTGGTGATCACGCGCGACTCAACTTTCCTAACTTATTTCATAACGGCTCTCACATCAGCGGCGAGTTCGGCGACTACAAGCCGCTTCACTCCTCCGTCTACGCTAAGCTGGAAGCGATTTCCCGAAGATTAGCGGAGGGGGAGAGCATCGACGGCGGTAAAAAGAAACGTTCACGACATTCAACGGGAGACGGTTTGGGCGGAGGGCAAGAGAAGTCGGGTGTCGAGATAGACGACGGCTCGGCAAGTGACGGATCTGACTGGTCTTCGCAGTCTTCGGACCTGGCGGATCTGACGTTCACGGAGGAGGGCGGCTCTTTGTTTGGACTGGAGAAATTCCCGTCGTATGAAATCGATTGGAGTTCTATATAGTCTGTTCGTAGTTATTTGTGTAGCCAAGCGTCATCATTTCACGCCCTTGACGGGCTTTTGTCATTCTACATCACATAGCCCAGTTATTTGACAAGCTCAACTATCCTTCATACGTTTACGCATGACAATTGGTCATTTTAAACTTAAGGCTCAACTATCCTTCACATGTGTAGGGATAGAGTTGTGAAGGGTTTCGGATGTTTTTAGAGTTACGAAGGGTTTTGGATGTTTGTTGTAGGTATTTTTTTTAAGATTAAATTACACGAATGGTCCCTATGGTTTGGGGTAATTTGCATGTTTGGTCCCTAACTTATTTTTTTAACTCGGAAAGTCTCTACTTGTTGTTTTTGTTGCACGCTTAGTCTCTGTCTTACCTAAAAAGACTATTTTGCCCTTGATTTTTTAATTTATGTAAATAAACACACCCTCAACCCCACTTCCACCTCACTTTACCTTACCTTACATACCCCACCTTATTTAAATAAATTAAAAAATCAAGGGAAAAATAGTTTTTTTAGGTAAGACAGGGACCAAGCGCGTAACAAAAACAAACTGCATGGACCTTCTGAGTTAAAAAAAATAAGTTAGGGACCAGTAATGCAAATTACGCCAAACCATAGGGACCATTCGTGTAATCTACTCTTTTTTTTAGGGTTTCGGGATTTTAAAGAATCCATGATTTTAGTTTTACAGAGAGATAGAAGATGTATTTTTTGGTCATGTAAATTTTGGATGATAAAGTGTATATTATAATGTAAAAAAAATTGAATCTTATTTTAAATAATTGATGAACGACACAAATAATTGATGGATCGGTAAAAGACAATATTTCTTACTGTTACATAGACATATCAAGAGTAACATTTGTAATATAAACATTTCTCTATTGTAAATAATGTGTTATACTTCAAGTTACACTAACTTTTATATTCTCTCTAACTCTTCTTTTTTTCTCCATCAAAGTTCTTATCAAAGTTACTACTTTTGTTTTGTTTAAAGTTATATTAATTATGCTCAATTTATAACAAATTCTGAAAATTAATAATGGTCATATATTAAAACAAGAGAGAGAGTCGTGAGATTGAGATGTAAAGCTCTACACAAGCCACCAAACTAAAAGATATATAATAGGGTTAAAATAGTTATAATGTATCTATTAACTCATCTAACTTAGAAATGTCAATTCAGTGGCATAACCAAGATTCTTTTTAGGGTAGGTCAAACAATTTACAAAATATAACCGAGTAGCAAAATATTTCAAATGATAACATAATTTAGCAATGTATGCATTTTAAAAGTAAATTGTTCATTTAAGTAGCACACGACGCTCTCTTATATCATTAAAATCATCTAAAATTGAGTATAAACTAAAAATCCTAGCGGTATCTTTCTTGATGTAAAGAAACAGACTATCAGCAATAAAATCATCATCCATCTTATTGTGTAGTCGATTCTTCACAGTTTAATGGCAGAAAATGCACGCTCTGTAGTTGCAGTAAACATTGGAAGGGTCAACACAAGCCGAATCAACCTGTCAACAAGATAGTAATGATTCTCTTTTCCTGTCTCTACCAAACCTTGATGTAACATCCTAAAAGTCACAACAAATTTTAACTTTTCAAAAATAGCCCAAAACCATAAATGTTTACAAAACCATTTTTTTCAAAAGTGTATTTCAGAATCGGAGTATCCCAAAATCCAAATAACATAAAACTGAAGGTTGTGCACGGTCACACTTTCACCTTGCCACGGTCATCTGAAGTACCTGAAACAATCAACTGAAATTGTAAGCCAAAGCTTAGTGAGTTCTCCCAAAGTACCAACACACAATATAACAAACAACAACATGCATACAGAACATTCATCATGACTAGACCGTTGCATCGGCCTTCAGCCTATCTGGACTGCTCTCTAGGCCTTCGGTCTGACTCGACCGCCTCGCAGGCCTTCAGCCTATCCGGTCCGCCCTGGGTATCTCGGCCTTCAGTACCAACTGGTCCGCCTCAACCCGGTAAATCATAACATATCGATATAGATATTATCAATCAATAAATAGCAACACATGTAGTCCTACGGATCTACCAGTCTAATCACATAACCAACAAATACATATCTCCATATAGCAACATTCAATAAACCAGGATATCTAATCCAAAGGGTCGGCCTTGGTGCCTTCGGCCCACAAGTATGGTGAGGAAAACTCACATCTCAGTCTGAACAAATAGTTGAATAGATCTCTGCTCTGAATCTTAGCTCCACCCGTCACCTATTCATCAAATAGTGACCATTCTCAAATACCACTCAAAATACCCAAAATACCCTTAGGTCACACTTGGTCAAAGTCAAATACAGCAGGTCGCCACGTCGTAACCATCCTTAGCCACGTTGTGGCTACTAAATGACAATACAATTGAGTCTTAGCCCAACTGCCATAATGTTTCAAGTAATCAACTAAACACTTGAATTAAACATTAGTCATGCCATGTTATAAACATGCATACTATGTCTCTCTATGGTCCTTCCTTTTTTTGAACAGATCGATTGCACACTACTCCAATGATGCTTATTTCACAATTCCAAGTTCTTGTCACTACTAAATGTGTTGGAGTTCAACCTTACATGCAATATCGTTTTGTGATGTCGAGGCTTCAAAGTCACAGAGACTTTGCCAAAGATATTACTAAATGTTCCATTGAAACTTTGTTACTTAATACAATTTAATGGTAATGAAGTCTCAAGTTCAGGATACACTCCTTGAACATCTTCATTGCATTAAAATTTCTAACTCACATGTAGATTCTAATCATCAACTCCCATTATGGAAACATTTCCATATTCCCATATGACCATATTAATTATGAATAAGAATAACATCCACCTAGAATTATGTCAATATGGTCCGTCAAAATACTACTATACTTCCAACTGTCCACAAGCAATCAATCTTTTGGTAAACCTCAGAATGTTCTTGATAGTTGTTTAACAACTTTAGTCACACAAAGTTCTAGTCCTTTTTTCCCTCTTAATGCCCAAAGCATTTGGACAAATCAGAACAAGTGAATATTATAGCATATGTAATCAATCCTATACCCGAAGCATATGGGATTTGATACATAATGTCCAAGTGGATAAAGTTTCTAACTTTACCCCCCCCCCCCATAGACCTTCTATGGGATAGAGATCCCCATTAGTAGTCATAAAAAGGGCAAGAACAAAACTTGGCTTATCCCATTAAGCACTTTCTCTTAAATACAACTAGATCCCCATTTTTAGAACGTTTTTGGCATCAAATAACAACATAAAAATCCTTACTTTCTAGACATGAATGTCCAATGCATGTCTTGGACTCTATTAGGTCAAAATGAGGGTTTTTGGCCAAATCTTCCATGCATGATGCTAAAACTCAATACTATTCCAGATCCAAAGCATCTACGGTCCAAAATGGCTTGGAGATTCATAAATTTGCAAACTTGATGAGATCTCACCACCCAATAATCAAGGAAATGAAGATTAAGGCATAGAAACCTAGATCTATGCACTTTAAACGAAAAAGCTTGGAACTTGGGGACTTACAAGAGTCCAAAAGATGCACAAGAAGATGGTGAGGTAACCAAGATACACAAAGATATCCACGATGATTGGTGGGGTAACCAAGAAACACACATGGGGTAGTACGGGGTTGAAGTATATGGGGTGAACTTAAAATAGTTTGTGATGAGGCATGTCGTGGTTTATAGCAAAGGATGGGAGGATATTAAGAAGGTGGCATACCATATGGAGAGCTTCAACCCAACATATGGGTAGAAGATGAAATTGTAACAAAAGGGTTCGGATGACATTATTAATGGTGCGAAGCATTCGTTCCGATTTACCATTTTTTTGAGAGGTGTAAGGACATGAGAAATGAATAGAGATACTGTTAGTGTCGCAAAGGTTGTGAAATTCTTTACTGTTATATCCCCCCCCCCCCCCCCCCCCAATTGTCACATTGAAAAGATTTTATTTCACATTGGAATTGGGTCTTCACATATGTATGAATGAACAAATTTAGCAAATACATCAAATTTTCGTTTTAGAGGATATACCCAAACATGATGAGAAAAATGAACTAAGAAAATAACATAATATTTCAAACCACTATGAGTAGATAATGGAGATTTCCAAACATCGGAATGCACAATTTCAAAAGGAAATGAAACACTAGAAGTAGAAACACTAAACGGAAGTCGCACGTGTTTTCCAGCTTGACATGCATGGAAAATAGAGGCGAACTTAGTTTTATTACATTTGATTGCACTACTAGAAATTAAATGTTGAAAGACATGGTCACCGGGATGACCAAGTCATTGATGCTAAAGAGAGGGAGCTTGGATAGCAAGAACTTGAGAAGTGGGAGCTGTGATTGGGTAAAGATCACCCGAGCTATTACAACGGAGAAGAACCCGACGAGTCGCGAAGTCCAGGCCCGGTTTTAAGGGGGTGCAAGAGGGGCAGCCGTATAGGGCCCCGAAAAAAATAGGGCCAGAGTTTTTAATTAAATTATATATTTAATAACTAAATATATATGAATTTATTCAAGATATTGCATAAAGTTTAGGTAGCCCAATTGGTAAAGGCGCATCTTTATGTAAAAGCAACATGGGTTCAAATCTTGCTCATAGCATTTTGACTTTTTAAATTAAAGTTACAGATTTGGCCATTTCTTTATGCTATATATTTCATAATCAACCCCTCCTTCCAATATGTTTAACAATCAGTTTTCAGAAGTTACATAATTAGCCCTTGAACTTTTTATAAAATTCCATATGTTCCTTTTTAATTAATTTATTTACTTTTAAGTTTTTCGTAACGATAATTCACAGTCTTAAGTTTGTTTTCCTTATATATTAAAAAATTGTATTTAGGGCCCCATTTTTCTTCTTAGCACAGGGCCCTTAAAATCAACCAGCCGGCCTTGGCGAAGTCCTTCACAGAAAAGCCAAAAACATCAAACTCAATAGCGCAATCATTATCACGAAAAATTTGACGAACATAAACTAAGTTTTTAATTATTTGAGGAGTGATAAAAAAAATATTATGAATATGGAGTGTACGATATGGATCAATACTATTCAAGATAGCGGAACCAGTTTTAGTTGCATGCATTGACGATCCATTACCAACCATTACCCTGCTAGAAGATGACTTTGAATTAATAGAGTTTATAATACCTTCATTTGCATGAACGTGTGAAGTAGCTCCTGTATCCATGAACCACCCACCATTATCTGGTTCGTTGAGACTCATTGCATTGAAAAACTGAGGAAGAGATAGAGCTTGATCAGACCCAATACTGGACCCGGATTAAGGCCATGCAGAGTTGGGCTGTTGCGTTCCAGAAGATGCAGCCATGTGGACCTGGTGTGTCAGGTTGCGCCATTGTCGCTGCTGGGATGAAGGTATGTGTTGGGGTTAATGGGGGAGTTGGTAGTAGCCCATCTTGAGGTGTGTTAGACCCCCTGGGAACAATTGCCCAAGTAAAACCTGGTGGAGGATTCTAGTGGTACGAGGTCTGATATTATCATTGATCAGAGAGAGCGACGATTATTGTTGTTTTGCTGTCAGTTTCTACCACCACCACGATTGTTGCCCTATCAAGAGCTGCCACCATGATTCTTGCTAAAGCCACCATCAGATGTGGTTGTATACAGGAGAATGGAGGATGAAGAGTTATCAGAGTGATGGTGTAACATCTTGTTTCCTGCCA